AAACACACATAAGGGAACAAGGGGTAGGGGGAGACTGAGGAGTGTCAGAGGCTTCAGCGGCGCACGACTTACCAGCGAGAGGTACCCCCGCGACGGCCGCATCGCGATAGGGGTCAAGTTGCCGCCCCTCACCTTCGCCTCTACCGTCTCCCCCACCCGACGAAGAATCTCCTCCTCGGAAAGGGCGGAAGAGGACATCCGGGTGCCCTCAATGGGCTCACCCGGCCTTATCTCGAACAGCCGCCGCCGCCGAGCCATCAGCGGCAGCACCCTCCGGCGGTGGAACGCGGCCACAACCACAGCCGCGGTGAGGCCGTGGCCCCGCAGCCTCGCCAGCCCCTCCAGGAGCGGCTCCAGCTTGGGCTGGTCGACCTTCGGGATGCCCCACTTCCACTTCTCTGGGCAACTCCCCACAATCCGCCCGGTGTAGGGGGGAAGCCCTCCGTCGTCGTTACGAAGATAAAACCAACTTGTATACCACCGGCGGTTGGAGGACGTGAGTTGGGCCGGGATGTAGAGGGGCAGGCGGTCCTGACGCACTTGGAGAGTGCAGCCTCTGGCCCTCGTCGCCTTCCTCTTCCCCGACGTGCCCGATGGCTTTGTAGTATGCCCCGCCCAGAACAGATGGAGCCACAACTCCCAATGGGGCGCGATCCGTAAATACCCCTCACAGACGGCAACAAAGATAGCCGCCTGAGCAACAGAGTTGGGATTAAAATTGTGGAGCTCCACGTCGTAGTAGTGCGTAAGCGCCCGCATGAACCGGTCCGCCGGGACGCCGAGGCCACGCTCGTGGAAGGAGACGAAGCTTACGACATAGCCATCGCGAGGCCTCGGCTCCGGCTCGCCGTACGGAGCAATCCATTCTGGCCTGGTGGAGTCAGTCACCGGGCGGAGGAGCCCACCATCGACAAGCGACTGGAGCATCTCCTCGGTGATGTCTGACGGATCCCAGGGGTCCGCCTCGACGACAACGATATCACCGGCCATGAGTGCGCTGGGGGAATCAGGTGCGGCGGTGAGTCTTTTCTCTCCCTCCCACGCTCTCACCTTTTTCTCGCTTCCTCCCTAGGCTCGCTCTTCCTCCTCTCCTTTCGGCTTTTCATTTGCTCTAGCGACGGCTCGGCTCGGCGGGCGGCGATGCGAGCAAGGTAAGACGAGGAGGGGCAAAACTCCCCGGGTATTTATGCAGGGAGGAGGCGAAATGAGCGGGCGATGAAATCGGGGAGATTTCCCCCAATCTGGCGCGGTTAACCACGAGCCGATTTCACCGGCCCACGCGCCCACGTCTCCCGCATTAAATGCGAGGACGGTTACGTCCCATCCACCACGCCATGATCGGCCACTACGGCAGCAGGTACCGTTTCGACTCCCAATAAAACTGCCTCAAAAGGCGCGCCACTCGTGGCCGAGCCAATAGGGAAAATATTTCCCGCGGCCTGTTCCTTTCATAGGAAGGAACCGGGCTCTGAGCCTATTACGATCCAGGGGTTCGAAGGCTGGACCCCAAAAGGGTTTCGACAGCTGCCCCAGGATAACAGAGTCAGGGGCGACTGCGGGCGAGCCTATTCGGGGCCGAGACCCAAGCGAGCGAAACGCTTGGGACGCCCAAAGTCGTGTCCGAGACCGGCAGGAAAGTATCCGAATGGGATCCCACCGTAGGGAGGCACCGAGCCACCGAGGCCCAACGAACGGCCTCGGCACCCACTAGAGAAATCCTCTGGTACTCTTGGAGTGTGTCTCTGGACCGCTAGCCGTCCCCTAGCGAACGGGGTTCGGGCCTCCACTCGGACTACCCGATAACAGCTCACCGGAAGTGCCACCGCTCGTGCCCATCGAGGGTAGCGAGGCACATTCCACCCCTCCTTCCGAGCGAAAAGGAAGCGCGAGGGTCGCATAAAAAGTCAGGGGAACCCCTGACGGCCTTCTCGCCCTATGAAGAGGCTAGGGGGCTCCTCCTGCAAATATGCCGAGACCCCACGACCCGGGCTCGTGCCCAAAGGGCCTCGGCAAACAAACCCTCACGCGCGAGGGGCGTATAAAAAGTCAGGGGAACTCTCGACGGCCCTCTTGCTCTGCGCAGAGGCTAGGGGCTCTTCCTGCGACCTTGCCGAGACCAGAATGGGCTTGGCAAACAAACCCTCACACGCGAGGGGCGTATAAAAAGTCAGGGGAACTCCCGATGGCCCTCTCGCTCTGCGCAGAGGCTAGGGGCTCTTCCTGCGATCTTGTCGAGACCAGAATGGGCTCGGCAAACGAACCCTTCGTCCGAACGAAAAGGATATGTGAGGGGCGAATGAAAAAGTCAGGAGACCCCCGACCGTCCTCTTGCTCCAAGCGGAGGCTCGGGGGCTCCTCTTGCACCCAAAAACCAAGACAAAAACACGATAAAGGGCACCGAGCCCGTTACGGTCCAGGGGTTCGAAGGCTGGGCCTCCAAGAGGTTTCGACAGCCACCCCAGGGCAACAGAGTCAGGGACGACTTCGGGGCGAGCCTGCGAATGGCCCAGGCCCGAACGAGCAGTCGCTCGGGGCGTCCTAAGTCGTGTCCGAGACCGACAAGAAAGTATCCGAATGGGATCCCACCGTAGGGAGGCACCGAGCCACCGAGGCCCAGCGAACGGCCTTGGCACCCACTAGAGAAATCTTCCGGTACTTTTGGAGTGCGTCTCTGGACCACTAGCCGTCCCCTAGCGAACGGGGCTCGGGCCTCCACTCGGACTACCCGATAACAGCTCACCAAAAGTGTCCACGCTCGCGCCCATCGAGGGTAGCATGGCACATTCCACCCCTCCTTCCAAGCGAAAGGAAGCGTGAGGGACATACCCAACGTCAGGGGGACCCCTGACGAACCTCTCGCTCCATGCGGAGGCTAGAGGGCCTCTTTTTGCAACCTCGTCGAGACCCCCGCAACCCGAACTTGCGCTTATGGGCTCGGCAAATGCAATAAGAACTGATCACTCAAACGCGAAAGTAGAGAAAGCCCCTGGAGGTGTAACTTCACTCCTCCAGGGGCTCGGGGGCTACACCCGGCGGGTGCGCTCGCGCGCACCCACCGGAACCTCAGAAAACAAACCAATTCCTACGGAGCAGGCATAAACCCAGCCTCGACGAACCCTCAGGGAAAGTGCACGCACTCACCCCGAGGCTCGGGGGCTACTGTCGGGTACCTTAGAACGGGGTACCCCAAGCAAACATCAAAACAAAGCTAGAAGGTAAGCCGTGGGCCCCTCACCTGCCACGACCGAGCCCTCCTCCACCTCGCGCTCGAGCCTCGAGCAGGAGGTCTCGGAACGAACTCCGCCTCACGCGAGGCTCCCCAGGGTAGGCCTCGGCAGGGGGCACCGAGCCTCGGCAGGGGACGCCGTCTCCGTCTCGCCCGAGGCTATCCAGGGAAGGCCTCGGCGGAGGCCTCATTCTCCGTATCGCGCGAGGCCTCATTCTCCGTGTCGCTCGAGGCCGGCTCGTCCACGGTCCGTCGCCCCCCGTCTTGGCCGACCCTCCCAACAACTCGTCATGTCTCATTAATGCTTCAACCACTCCCGCAATCTCAGCCGGACGCTGGCTCAACGCCACAGGATGGCCGACGCGACCCGAGGTCGCATCAGCGCCATACCGGCCGGGACAGGCCACTGTGTCCTACCACTGTGTCCACGATCAGCACCATACCGGCTGGGAAAGGGCACGACGGAGATTACCTACCACTGTGTCCTACCACTGTGTCCTACCACTATGCCCACGACCAGCACCATACCGGCTGGGAAATGGTACGACGGGGATTACCAACCACGGTGTCCAAACGCTGTACCCATGATCGGCCGCCCGCTCAAGGCCTCGGCACTGTACACCGAGGCCTCGGCGATCTTGGGGTTCGTGCCTGCCGAGACCCCCCCACCGCAGTGCCAGCCTCGGCATCGCGCATAGTCCGTCCACAGTGGCTCGCACGTTCGCCGCCGCATCCACTCCGAGGCATTCCCGGGGCTCCCACGACGCACAGGACCTGATGGGATGACCACGCCGCCCCAGTACTCCAAGGATGGACCACTCCGACGGCCACGCCGCCACAGGAACAGGCTACAGGGCCCGGACACGCCGCCTCTGTTCACACGACGCCGTATAGTCAGCTCATGTACCGCCCAAGTCCTCCCTTCATGCTATAAAAGGAGAGGACCTGGGTTGTTTTAGGGGAGGAGGGGGGGACACCTTGTAACACACACGTACACTCCTGCCGCCGGAGAGCAACGTCTCAAGCGGCCCGCACGGCACCCTGCCAAGACCTAGGACCAGCTCCTTCTCTCCTTTAGCTTGTAACCTCCTACTACGAGCACCTCGGTGCAAGGAATACAAGATCGATCTCTCAGACTGGAAGTAGGGCCTCGATTGTCTGAACCAGTATAAACCTTGTGTCTCTTTGCATCACCATCCGGATCGAGAGCACGCAGAACAAATTCACTAGTTGGTTGAGGACCCCTGGTCCGAAACACCGACAGTATGTGTTGTATGTGTATTGTTATTTCTTAAAATTTTTATAATTATTGCTCATTGCAATGATATATTTTTTATAGAGGCGTGTGTATTGCATGTTTATGTCTACTAGTCTTGAAAAGAGAGTGTTGTTTCGCGTTTGCAATTTACTTTTAGACAGACAAGGTTATTTACTTTGTGTCAATGTCAACGATCTAAGAGGATTATGAATGGCTCCTTTCGCTTCGCTAAAAAAATAAGTCGAAATATTTTTCCTGCTGATTTGTTGTAAGAGAAAAAATACTGTTTCAACTGAAAAAACAAGTCGAAAAGTACGGATTATAAGATAAGCGAACATGCATATTATAAGAAGCATACGTGTCACATCAACGATCTCGAATCCTCAGTCAATCGCTTAGCCCGTGTTAGAGGAATTTGCCGGTAATTACCCCCCTGGCATTGCTTGATCCATTTCATTGCCATCAGCTTCAAATTAAACGATCCATCGCGACAAGACAAGAACCGATACTAGTACTATGGCGAGCCTCCTCAAGAAAATCGTAGACGCTGAGCAGTGGGACGCCGAGGACATCGCCGGGCGGCTGGGCATGGTCTTGCACGCCGCCTTTCTCTTCGCCGGTTTCCAGCCCTACGGCGCCCTGCCACGGTCGGGACACCTCCTGAAGAAGCAATCACGCAAGAAGGGAAGCTCGCTGTGCCTCTCCCGACAGTACACCGCGCCGGACCTTGCGCACCGCGACGGCGCGGACGCTGCCGTGCTGATGCTGTGTGTGCAGGGGAGCGACGTCGCGCTCCTCGTGTTCCTCGTCACCACCGACGGCGACGACACGCCGGAGAACGCGTACCTAGAGCGGCTGGATCTCGGCACCGTCAGGCCGCTCCTCTCCCGCAGCCTCTGTGGCGTGGAGCCCTGGGCGTCGCGGATCTGCAAGTCGCTCGCCGACGGCGTGTGCTGGGGCCTCCTCCACGAGCTGTGCAGCAGGAACGGTCTGCCGCTGAGCGGCTTCGAGTCCCTGCCCGACGACCTCAAGGGAGCCGTCTTGGAGAAGCTCACCGACGGCAAGGACCTCGCGAGGGTGGAGTGCGTTAGCTCCCATCTGAGGCTGCTCGTGGCGGAGCGTGACCACAAGCTGTGGAAGACCTTGTACAAGGCCCTGCCTGCGCGCCAGCGCCGGGGCCGGTGGCGTCTGTGGTGGTTCTTCCACGACGACGCCGAGAGCTCCGACGAGGAGCAGGAGACTCTCAGTGTCGGATCGAGCTGGAAGGACATGTACGTGGAGGCCAGGCGGCGTCCCTATTATCCCTTGTTGTTCAGGCCGCGCTCGTGGTACTTCGACTCCGTTGATCCTGATCCCATCAGAATAATTCGTCGAAGGGGCCTGTTGTCATGGCCCGTTGACTACTGGGTCATCCAAGATCCGCCGGAGGAGGAGAAGACAGTTCCTCCAAGGGTCGACAGAAGCGGCGGCCGCCGCCGGAAGCTGGCACGGAACGACTACAACAAGTGGCATGGTGGCGGCGCGATCCACTCGCCGTCGTCTCGCTATCGCTGGAAGCATCGTTAGCTGATCATGCGCTCCTCATATGCTTGCAACTGAAATCCTGCATATATACTCAACTCAACGACTGATGCGTCTGATTTATTTGTTTTGAGATTTCGATCATGGAACGAATGGAATGGACTGGTCAGATTGTAATTAGTGCTGTTATGCTCTGCATAATCCTGACCGGTGACTATCACGCACCGCAGTAATAATGTACACATCTGAATGGTTTATTGGGAATTCAGTGTTGAATTTTAGTCAGTGTGTTGATCTCATGGTAATTCTGCTTGATATATGACTGAGGGACGTCGTATATATTGTTGATTGGTGTTGCTAGAACGTACTATCTACCATCAGAGTCGCTCGGATGTTGCAAGTTGTGATTTGGGACACTGTCTGGTCGAGAGTCAAGACAGCAGATTGGTCGTGAAGACGCGGCTCCGGAGATTCGTGGATGGTGGATGCTGACAAGTGGGAAGCCGACGACCTCGCCGCCCGGGTGGAACGGCGTCGTGGTCTTCCATGCGCGCGTACGTACTTCCTCATGAGGCACCGGCGACAGGCAGTGCTCATACCGAGAGCACTATCTGCATTTTTAAATGGGAATTTTTTACTGAGGGTCCTCGGACTTGGTCGAGTTCTTCTCGATATTTTCAAATTGCACTTTTACCTGTGTAAATTTAGGCTGTGTTTAGTCGTAGAAATTTGGATTTTAGGGCTACTGTAGAACGTTCGTTTTTATTTGACAAATAGTATTCAAACATGGACTAATTAGGCTCAAAACGTTCGTCTCGCAATTTCCCACCAAACTGTGCAATTAGTTTTTCTTTTCGTCTACATTTAATGATCCATGCACGGGCCGCAAACATTCAATGTGACAGGTACTGTAGCAAATTTTTGGAAGTTGAGGTGGAACTAAACAAGGACTTATTCAAAGTTCTTGTTCATGTCCCAGTACTTTTAAATTACACGTTTAGTTCCTTAAACTTATCCTAAGTTTTCATTTGGATCCTATCACTTTCAAAATACACGCTCAGCTCTCTAAACTTCTATTATTATATGATTACAGTCCATCCCCATCTCCCACAATGCTTTGCATGAGCCCACTCGTGCGGCCGCATCGCGTGGCACCGTGTTCATCCACCCAAATGGTGTAGCGCACCAGGGCCGAGAAGCACAGCGGGCTCAGGAGGGATGTGCAGGCCTAGATTTTTAGGACCTGCTACATCACTTGGCAGCCCTTTCTGCGCTTGCCTTACTAGAGATCCCAGCTAAGCCTTCACAGTGGTTGCATTCAACACCACCGCCGCACTCCTTCCTCTTCCCGGTCGCACGGGAGCTCATGCTCATTCTCATCATCTCCTCGCATTCGGTTCCCCATGCACTTTCCTAGCCTTTTATCACCTCCCTCTGCAACAACAGGGTTATCGCTACAACGCAGTAGGTTGAGTGCAGCGTGCAACATGGCGGCACAGGCAGACATGACATAGCCTAGCGTGGCAACGTGTGTGCACACCACACCAACGATGCTTGCATGGTGAGGACGGGGGTGTTTGGATGGATGCACCGTAATGATACAATAATATAACTTTAAGAACTTTTAGTATGCAATTTATAAAACCCGGGACTTAGATGAGAACTCGGAACAAGTTTAAGCAGCCGAAGGCGCAATTTGCATGTGCCCGAACCGATATGAAAACCCAAGACAAGTTCAGAGAGCTAAATGTGCAATTTTAAAGTACCGAGACCTTAAGAAATACAAATTTGAGGACCAATAGTAAAATGTACTCTTTTAAATAGCTATTTTGGTCCCTCAGTTATACAATTTCGTCATTAAACTTTTAAAATGGTCATTTCAGCTCTCAAACTTTATTTCAGCTCTCAAACTTTACTTTTTAAGTTTGGTTTCATCCTAGAACCATTAAATTGACCATTTCAATCCTTAAATTTTGCATTTTAGCTTAATTTTATCGATCAACTTTGAACATTTTGGGACCAGAATGAAATGCACTTGATAGTTCATGAATGAAATCGAGTCCAAAGTACCATGTTGAGAACCAAAATTGTCACTTTAATAGTTCTATGATAAAACTAAGCCTTAAAATAAAATTTTAGAACTAAACGGCCATTAAAAATTCTTGAATAAAATTGAACCTCACATGATAACATTAGGATAAAAATGGCTATTCCTTTTTTTTCAAGAGAAAATGCATATGTATATAGGACAAAGAGAAAAAAAACAATTTGACTGTAGGTTAATTCTCAATGTAGCTCAGCTAAAAAAACAGACCAATTTTTTTTCATTTTTATCGGTAAGTAGCCTGTTCGGATGGACCGAACAAACACTGTTAATTTTAAAAAGTTGTCATTCCTTGTGCCGGAGCATTTCTACTTTATAAACTCTCACCCTTCAAAATATAAAGGACGTGGCTAGCGCTCGGACGTCCCGTCGAACGCGCGCGTCCACGTAGCCCACCTCTGTCTGCCCCCGCACGCGCACCCTGCCCTGTCGCTGTGCCCACACGACTCCTTCCCAGCGACCCCGCTTCTCTCTCTCCACGCGGATGGGATCGGGGAGCCAGATGAGGACGAGCACGTCCTCCCGCAGGACCCAGTCACGCCATGCACCACGACTGCCGGCACCTGGCTCGCCGCGCCTGATCCCTCGGTGCCCATGACTCTCTGAATACACCTCTGAAACATGAAACACTATGCAACATATGTCTAAAACAGATGAAATATTTGAAACATGTGTGTGAAACATATACAACATGTAGATAAAATATTTGCAACTTGCAACATGAAAACACTTAGTGCAACATAAGACTGAAAACAACTAAAAACCATTGGAACATACTCTTGCAACATGTGTGAAATATATGCAACATCTAGATAAAAAACGCATGCAAACATACGTCTGAAAACATATGAAACATTTTGAACAAACGCTTGCAACATGTCTCTGAACACTTGCAACATATGCAACATCCCGATTTACTTTTGCAACATCCACATGAAACACTTGCAACGTATCTCTGAAACATCTGAAACACTTGAAATATACGCTTACAACATGTCAGGCATGGAACTCTAGTGCACGACAACCAGCATGTCAGGAGCGCTGAGGAACTTGATAACCGCCTTGATGGGCAGATCGCGACTGGGAGGCGGCGGAGCGAAGAGCACCACAGACTTGGCCCCCAGCGAGCTTCCTACGCTACTAGGGCATGAGGAGCCTCGAGGCCGGCGAGAAGTACGGCACGTCCGCGACGCCCTCACAATCTCTAGCTGCACGGGGAGGTGATGATGAGGACCGCGGTGCCAGCGATAGCAATAAGGGCGGGGGCGGGCGGGAGGCGCGACTCCAGCGGTGGAGCCTAGTGTCGCGGAGCCGGGCGATGGTCACATGGCGGAGGGAGCGGAGCAGAGCCTACGGCGATGGTGTGGCAGAGGAAGCAGAGCGGAGCCTGTAGGAGCACGTGAGACGGAGTGAGAGATTCTTTTTATTTGAGAAGACGGTGCCCAGACGGACGTATGTGCTCGTCGTATCATTATTATGGAAATCTAAACTCCTCTCGATATGGATGGAGGCACCGTTGATACAGCAAGGACGGCAATGACCTCGTCCATGGACTCTACAATAATAATGTTTATGAGAAGATAATAAATAAATGAAAATAGTAGCAGCAGCAGCAGCAGCTCTCTTTTGCGACATGTAAAATTATTGTTCAAATAGTGATAAATCAGATTTTAATTTGCTTTGGTCCCATGTGAATCCGTTTCATGAACTACGTTGGTAGCATTACACTACAGTGAATCGTGTGCGACCCACCTGCGCCTATCTCTGACGGTGTCTCCAATCGACGAATTCAACTTTTGTTTTTCGACAACAGATGAATCCATTGTTGTGGTCCCTCTGCCAGTCCACACCGACACCGCTCACCTCCTCATTCTCTCTGCCTCCTCCTAACCCGTTCGTCGGCCATCGTCAGTCCAATAAAAAGTTGTGGAAGCGTGGAATTAAAGAAATCTCTACTCTTCATTTAATGGCAAGGAGTATCTGCAGCTAGTTTTCTGCTCCATTTGGCAACGTAAACTTAAGTAAAAGATTTTACTCTTCTTCTACTAAAGGAGCAGCGCGAGAAGGGCTACTTATCTACCAAAAAGGAAGATTCAGGACAGAAGGTGCTCACAAGCATGCTGTGCAGCGGGTCACATCCCTTGTCACTGCCTCCTCCCTTGTCGTTCCTGTCAATGAGCATGTCTGCAACTCACCCAGCAGCACCATGACCACCCTCCATGTATTGTCCCGTTCGCTTGGTTTAAAACACTTCACGTGTACAGCCAACGGCAAGGAACATCGCTGAAGGGGAGTTGGGATGGCAGTGTGACGTCTGCCCACCGCAGAATGGTCGCTGATCCGTGAGGTCAGAGTGTCCCTTTGGTCTCTTCGCCGTGCAGTGATGCAGTGATGGTGTGGCCTCAGCCTCTTCATCTCTCCTAGACGTCGTAGCAATCATTCGACATTTGTAGCTACGGTGTCAGCAGCAGGGGAGCTTGGGCATGGACCCCAGGGGAGCCTTCCAAATACCCAACAATACGTAGGAGATGTTCATAATGCGTATGTCCATCAGCAGTGCTGCAAGAAGCCACACAAAGTCAATGAAAGAAAGAGACAAATTAAATAAATAACCCTTCTAGACCCATCAAACTTGTTGGTTTCAAGATGTAATAATGAAATCCCACAAACCTTCGTGGTATTGGGCCAGATCACTATTCAGGAATACAAGTGTCGCCTATACACCCAATCCTTGCACCCTGGGATGGCATATATCCAAGATTTTGGGTCCCGAAGTTTAGATCCTGGATATGGGAACATTGTCAGAATGGCACTAAATGTAAATTAAATAAATTGCATTCAGATGGCAATAAATGTTTGCATCTCAAACAGCAGCAGATTATGGCAAGGAAGGAGAAGAAGTCCATGTTGGAAGAGATGGTGCTGAAGTTGAAGATCAGCCTAACAAAATGGTGAAAAACTTATAAAGATGGACGGGAAGTCTGTTGGCAGTCTTTTCTCTCTGTCGTCTTTCTGTCTTTTGTTCTTCAGTCGGCTTGTAAAAGGCTTGTTTTCTTAGCGGTTCTGCTTTTAGGGGTTTGTCTTCTGTTTAGTGGAGAGCTGGTGAGGCTGTAACTAAGAGTTTTTTCTTGTACCTGATATTTAAGCTGGTATCTCAAGCATACCTGTTTTAAGCTTTCTATAAAAGCTAGGCCAAGGCTGTTTGGTCTAAAAATAAATAAATTGCCTTGATGGCAACATATAAATAATGATACACATATATGCTCCTGAACTAAAACAAAACAAACACATAGTAGCCGCTTTGAGGAGCAATGCAAATTAGGTTAAGTTGCCAACCTTTTTTTTAATTTTGGAAAGGAGCTCCGTGCGGTGTTCATTGGAGACCAGAGGCTATTTGATGCCATCCTAGGCAATGTCTGGCTAGGCAAGCGATCCAGGCCCTAGGCGTCCGGAATTGAATGGCTAGGCACTGCCTGGCCTAGGCAGCCGGCCGCTGCTGTCAACCAAACACCCGAGGTGTAGGATAGGGATTCGAATATTGCGGACATTACTAAAATTTTAGCTGATTTTTCGAAACTTTGAGAAATGGTAACTAAATCTGAACGAATCTCATCCAAATTTAAAACCTAATTACTGGGATGCGAATTTACCCTAGTAGGACCCAACATCGTGAAATTTTGGCCAAAATTCCAAACCCTGCATTGGACTACAAGTCCATCTGCTACTTAGAGCAAACCTACCTACCTATCCATGGTAACAATAGAATTGCATCTCAAACAATTGAGAAAATCTGTGGACTGAGTTATAAATAATCATTTCAAGCAAGAGAGAACAAAAGGAAAGAAAAACATAGGATAAAGATTGAAAGGATAGCCTTGTGAGGACCCCTTTAGTGAGCGTGTGATAATTATCTGTATTTATTCTTGGATATAGACATACTTTTGTACAGAAACAAAATAATCATTGAACAGGGATTTTGGATGGAGTATTTGTTTCTAATGAGTAAGTAGCACCATATAAATCTTAATGCTGTCAAGAGAAAGAAGATAGTAATGGAATAAATGGTACCATCCTCAGGATCGCTTGATCGAACATGTGACAAGAGTTTCAGCCTGTTCGTGTGTTGGTTTCAGCCAGTCCAAACCAGTCAGCCAACAGTGTTTTCCTCTAAAAAAAACCAACACCAGCCAGCTCAAACCAGCATCAGCCCCAACCAACGAACATGCCCTTTATATTCAAGGCTATCAAGCCTTTGTGGGAGATGTTCATAAAGAGGCTTGATATTTATGGCAGGGCAGTATTTTGACGTGAACACTGGTAAGAGCAGAATAACTCCCAAGACTGTCAGGTAAGGATGTTAGACGTTTGCATCTAAGGAGTCCGCAATGTTTTAATGCGAGCATGTAGCGCACTGTAGCATTTTGTTTGTATTTGGTAATAATTGTCTAATCGTTGACTAATTAGGCTCAAAACGTTCGTCTCGCAAAGTACAACCTAACTGTGCAATTAGTTTTTGATTTCGTCTACAATTAGTACTCCATGCATATACCACAAATTTGATGTGACAGAGAATTTTCTTTTTGCATAGTGCCAAAGTTGAGAGTTGGGAGCAACTAGACAAGGCCTAAGGAGTCCGAAATCTTTTAATGCGGGCATGTTGCCCCACTCTGGAGATTCCAGCTTGTTGCAGCGCCCAATACCCACATCCACGAGCGCATCCAAATGCCCTGATATGGAACGAAGCTCTGGGCAGTGATAAACTGATAACTCTTTGAGAGATGGTGGTATATTTGGAATTGTTGCTAACTTATCAGAGCCGCGTATACGTAGACTCTCCAGGCAAGGCAAAGATTTAGTACTTCCTTGCAATTGCTCTGGTGCTGCTGTGAGGTCGAACAGCTCGGTTAAGCTTTCACATTCACCTATCTCTAGTTTCTTTAGCTGTGGCAGGAGCTCATCCCTTGCTCGTGTTGCTACACCATTCACCTGTGACCTGTGCACGCCCAGTTAGCTTAGAGCACCAAAGAAATTTTAATTTCGTTAAGGATACCAAGCTAAGAAATTCTTCGTCTGGCCAGTAGATGACAGAACTGCAACTACGAATCTCAAGTGCTTGAAGTTGTCCAAACCATTTCCAAATCTCAACAATATGTCGTGATGGACTTGAGGCGAATAAAAAGCCGCAGCCAGTAATATTCATTTCTGTAATTGATAATTCCTGATTCTGATCAAGCTCCAGTGCTGCTTCTGTGCCCCTTACAAGCAATTCCAACACAGACAACGAAGACATGTATCTGGATGAAATTAATGAAAGGGACAGCTGTGCCTTGTCTTCTCTTATCTTTTTCAACCTTGATCGTCGGTGCTTCAGGTAGAGTTGTCAATTTTGGACAGTCCTTAATACAAATCTTCTCAAGGACAGGAAAGGTTACTTCGTCCCCCTTTCCTTCAGATGCTACCCATCTCTCCAGGCTCTTCAAATCACACAACTTGAGTTCTTTTAATGCTGAAAATTCCATGAATGCTATGTTTCTGCACAGGCTGCGCAGTTTATACAGCTTTTTCAGGTGAAGGACTTGAAGAACTCTCATATGAGAAAATTCAGGGAAGTCTTCACACATTGTACAACCAATTAAATGGAGCTCAGTCAATTGCTGCTGAAACAAACCAAGATCTTTCACCCATGTCGGTATATTGCTACCTTTGTAGTTTACTATCCTTAGCATCTCCATCCCACCAGGAGGTTTAAGAGCATCTAGCACCTTGCTGTGACAATCTGATATTAATTCCTCATCATCCTCACTATTCCATTTCAGAGATAAGTGTGTAAGTTTCTCTTTAATTCCAAGACTGGCAGCTTTCACATGCTCTTCAGTTGCATTTTCAAGGCCATTTAAATCTAGTTCACCGCGGAGATTTAAGTGTTGGAGTTCACCAACAGTGCTGCAACTGGAGCTGGAACCCACCACAAAATATGTTAAAGTCTGTAGAGAAGTTACTTGTCCAAGGTCAGGAGGCATGCATTCTAATGATGTGCATCCATTGGTGTAGAGATGCCGGAGGCTTCTCATATATTTCATATTATTTGGAAGCCGGCAAAGAGACCGACAATGAGAAACATCCATGGTCAATAAATTATATAGTAAAGATATTTCTTGAGGAAGTTCTTCAATCCACCAGTTGCTTGACAAGTTAAGATACCTTACGTGCTGCAAGTGCCTTGGCTTAATTGGAAATTTTTCCAGTTGACACAGCTGCATTGCCCGTAAGGAATTGTACTTCGATAAATGTGGTGCTGACATATAATCAATCCACGGATGTGAATATAACAATGTCTGTAGTGTTGAAGAATGCTTCTTCAGAAAATCATCCAAACGACTGGCAGGTCGTTGGTATGATATAAACATGTGGCGAATAGTCTTGGACAATGACATCACATTGGCCCAATCAACTATGGTTGCACATTCTTTTCCCATGATCGAGAAAGCCACATCGTGCATAAGATCATGCATCCTGCATATTTTTGCACCACGGAGCTGTTTTCGACTTCCATAGTCATCAATCAGTGGCGGGGTTTGCTTCACATCTTGAAAGAAAGATCTCCAAGCTAGTTGGTTAAAAATTTCTTTACCTATCAAGTCAGGATTGTCTTCATCTTGCGCGGGTATGAGGTCGTGAGCCATCCATAGTTGGATCAGACTCTCCACATCAATCTCATAATCTCTGGGAAACACAGCACAGAATGCAAAGCATTGCTTCATGTCTGACGGCAGGTCATCATAGCTGAGCTTCAGTATAGGAAAAATCTCTGTCCTCTCATCGCAAATGTTGCTTTTAGCTAACATATCCTTCCATTCTTGTATGCTGGTCTTGGTACTCAACATTGAGCCAAATGCTTTGGCTGCCAAAGGAGAACCAACACATCTGTCGACAATCTTATCAACAACAACATCTAGCTCATCACTGCTTGGCTTTTGCACGCTGAATGCTCTGCTTTGGATTATTTCCATCATATACTTGTGACCCAACTTTTGAAGGTTATAGGCTCCAGGTGCACCCATGGTCATAACTCGAGCTACTTGTACATCACGGGTTGTTGTCAGTATTATGCTTCCCCTGTCACCTTGCTTAAGGCATGTCACCAGTTTCCCCCACTTATCAGGATCCCGATTCCAGACATCATCGAACACAATGAGGTATTTCTTCCCACTAACTTCTTTCCGGAGTTCCTGCAATGCTTTCTCACGATCTTCCTCATGTCTCTGGCAGATTTTGCTTGCAATGTTAGCAATGTCAAAATCTTCTGACACACAACACCACCTCCGGAGACTGAAATGCTTCTCAATTTCAGGGTCATTGTAAATGAGCTGCACAAAAGTAGTCTTGCCCAGACCGCCCATTCCAACGATAGGAACAACCATGGGAACGCCTCCACTACCATGACCATCTTGCTCAAGCAATATCTTTACGATCTTGGTCTTCTCCTCACTTCTGGATCTGCTGACAATGTCCATATCAGAGTCAACCATTATGCTATCAGTCTGCCGCCACCTCCACTGCACCGATGGCGGCACTGGCACATGCTGCCTCTGTGTGAAGCTGAAATCATTCATCTCTTTCACAAGGACCTCTATCTTCTGCACAATCTTGTGCAGCTTCTTGCTCATCCTGTAACGAAACACGATGGGGTTACGAGCAGGGAAGAGGCTTACGACATCCATCCCGAGCTTGACGTAGTGCCCCTTCTTCTTGGCGTCACGCCGGAGCGATTCATACTTGAACTCGTCGAAGACGTCGATCCCCTCATAGGACACCTTCTTGATTGCATCGAGCCAAGCACCAACTCCTGGTCGGCTAGCCCCCTTCTCCGCATCTTCAATGACGTCAAGGATGGCCGGGAGCCTGCGCGCCAGGATCTCGCGCTGCTCCTCCATGCCTTGCATCACCTTGTACTGATCCAGAATGTAGCTGGACGCCTTCTCCTTCAGCGATTTGACCTAACGCCCCGACCACCAACTCAGCCATTGTTGCTCTCGCAGCTCACCTGCAGAGCGCACGCACAGCTAGCACTCAAGGAAAGCACGGTGGAGTGTTTATGCCTTTATTATGGAACAAATTAAGCGGTCCCAACTGATTAAAGAACGCTTCTGCTTTCTGAGGACAAGGACGAGTGGGTTTGGCTTCCGAGTGAGTGAACCAATTAATAATATGCAGTCCAAAAGAATGTCACATGCATGGTCTACTTTGTCTGGGAAGAAACATATGTTTATGAACAAAAAAAATGAGACAATGGCAACTGGCCTATGGCGTGCATGTGCATGTGAACATTTGTTTATTTTTTATGGCATGAAGTCATAATTTCAAGTTGCAATCAAATTCTCGATACGAAGAATAAATCAACTATACTGATGATTTGGGATCGAAACCATCATCAGTGCTTGAGATAAAGTGCAATTTATGAATCATAACGTTTGATCTTTAAATTTAGGGGGGCGTGGCGTCTGGCCTATGGCGTGCATGTGCATGTGAACATAGAAAGATGCCCCCGGTTTGGAAGGAATATAAAAGCTCCACTCACTATTGGAAAACTGTACTTTGCCGAGTGTCTGAGACTTTGCCGAGTGTTTTTTATCGGGGCACTCGGTAAAGAAATATTTTGTCGAGTGCCGCACTTGACAAAATAAAGCACTTGGCAAAGATGGCTTTGCTGAGTGCCAGGCACTCGGCAAAGCCTGGCTCTCGGCAAATCTGGGCTTTGCCGAGTGCCGCGGCACTCGGTAAAAGTCCCACTCGGCAAAAGGTGGCCGGCACGTGACGGTGGCCACCTGCCGTCAGATTTTGCCGAGTGCCTAACGGATGGCACTTGGCAAATTTTTTTTTATTATTTTTAAAAACTTATTTTGCCGAGTGTAAGCGTTGGGCACTCGGCAATTTTTTTTTTAATTTTTAAAAACTTATTTTGCCGAGTGCCAGTGTCAGGCACTCGGCAAATTTTTTTTTATTTTTGAAAATCAACTTTGTCGAGTGCCCCTGGGCCGGCACTCGGCAAAGCCCACTTTGCCGAGTGCCCCCCATGGCACTCGACAATTTTTTTTTGATTTTGGGCCTAATTTTTTTTCTGTGGCCTTGTGACAGTATTTCAAACTCTATTTTAAAATTTGGGGCAATTTTAACTTTTTTTGATGTATTTCATTAGTTTATTTCGTTTCGTCTAATTTTTTGGGATATTTTAAATTTGAACTGCAGGTACATGGAATAATAGACTTTGGTCATCCAAAAATTGATACTCATGATATCTAGGGTATGTTTAGGCCGTATCCAGGAAGTCACATGAAATCTCGAGCATCTCGTTGACGTAACATGTCGAGGTAGTTGCTGGAAATGTGATTTTAAATTATATAAAATACAAACGAAGTCCGAAAATCATGAAACTTGTCGAGGCGTCGTGTTATCACATGTGGAGGCTGTGATAAAAAATTATAAAGGTTTCGAGCAAGTTGTGACATCGGATGCCAAAAACCCAGACATCTCCAAAAATTGTAAAGGTTTCGAGCAAGTTGCGCTGGCACTTGGCAAAATAAGTTTTAAAAATTAAAATTTTTTTTTGCCGAGTGCTCAAGGCATACACTCGGCAAAATATGTTTTTTTTAAAAAAACCGCCGACCCAAAATCCCCCCAGAACCTTATCCGCCCGCTCTACTCTGTCCCGACGCCTGGCCGCAGCATCCCGGTCGCCTGCCGCCCGCCGCGCCGCTCCATCCGCACGCCGGCGTGAGCCCCGCCACTTCTGCGCCCCGCCGAAAGCACCCCAGCCCGGCCGCTTGGCTCTCGGCGCGCGCCACGCGGCGAGACCCCGCCTGCGCGCCCCGCCGAAAGCACCCCCAGCCACCGCGCCCGCTACTGCTGGCTCCTCAAGCGCGACCCATCTTTGGCGAGCCCCGCCACCAGGCCCCCGCCCGAAGAGCACCCCCAGCCCGGCCAAGACGGCTCCCACACACGCACACCCATGAGCCCCCGCCCATGGCGCCCCCACCCCCCGAAAGCACCCCCAGCCGGCCGTCATGCCGTCGTGGCCATTGCCACGCCGCGCCGTCGCGTCAGCGTCTTGCCACCCATCGTGGCGACCATCCTCCCCCTGCACGCGCCGCTGCCCCCGTGCGCCCCTCTGCTCCCCTGCTCTTGCCGCCGGATTGGAAGAAGGAGGAGGAAGAAAAGAAGAAGAAGAAGAAGGAGGAGAAGAAGAAGAAGAAGGAAGAAAAAGAGGAGAAAGAAAGAGAAGGAAAAGGAAGAAGTAGGAGAAGGAAAAAAGAGAAGAAAAAGGAAGGAGGAGGAGGAGAGGAAGGAGGAGAAGGGGAGAGGGGGAGGAAGCCGAGGTGGAGGGGAGGAGGAGGTGCGTCGGCCGTCTTCTCCGCGTGCCCGCCCCCCGCCGACGCCTCATCATCACCGAACCGCCCTGGCGTGGGCAAGGTATATCCACCCTTTCTCCGTTTGTCGACCTTCGTACATCGTTTTATCGGCCTTCGTGTTGTTTGTGATTGTCGGCCTTCGTGCCGTTGTTTTTTGCAGGTTTTGGAAACCTCCTCGTGCAGGGGAGGTGCTGCCGAAATTTTGAACTTATAGTGTCGTGTTTCTTCTTTTGCAGAGTAGGACCTGTCGGAGGTGACCCGGAGGTCCCCGATCGTCTTCGTTGGCGTCGCGGGTCTGCCTGCACTGCGTCGCCTCGCCATTGCGTCGACTCGCCACTGCCTCGCTAGCCTGACTTCACCGACACCCTAGGTATAAATCATCTCTTTTTCCGCTTGTCTGTCGTCGTAGATCGGTGTAGCCTAGTTAGGCGTCTCCCGTCCGAAAGAGATATCTTTGGAGGTATGCAGATCTTTGCATATCTGCGAGCATTTCTGTTTTGGATTGTCCACGTTTTTTTGGACAGCCTACGGATGCGTAGATGGGTTAGTTTCCATAGTCCGCTCTGGTCCGAGACAGTGTTTCGGCATCACCCCCTGTTGTTCTCCGGATACACACTCTCCCTTGCAGGACGTGTATCGGGAGAACAACAGGGAGGTGCTGCCGAAATTCCGTCTCGGATAGGAGCGGAGCATGGAAACTAACCTCATCTACGGATCCACGGGTGGGATTAGGACCTATCCTCACCTATTAGAGAGTAGGGACACCGCGTAGATGCAATTGATGGTGACTCATATGTGCTGATACGTCTGTTAAAGGATGGAGGACCGTGAGTGGATGTACATGCTTCAGAGAGACGAGCACGATTACGACTTGCTGTTTATAGTCAAGGTCGAAGAATTCTTAAAGCATGCATTTGGTGAGAGTGCTGGAGGCCATTCTCTAGTGGTTTGTCCGTGCAGCGGTTGTGATAACAGAAGAAGGAAAGATAGGTTAACCATGGGTAAACATGTTGTGAAGTTTGGATTTACTTCGGGCTACCACCAGTGGATCCACCATGGTGAAGCCTATTGTATTAGGGAGGAGGTGGTGAGACCACGGCTCGAGGCTTTCGATGATGATGCCGGGGTAGCAGACATGCTGGATGACACGCACCAAGCTCAGTTTGCTGAAGGACGTGACAAGGAGGAGATGGAGGCTGCCGCAGATGCCTTCTACCTGATGTTGGACTCGGCACAGAGACCCCTTCATGATCATACTAATGTTTCTCAGCTGGATGCCATTGGTCACGTAATGGGGTTGAAGGCCGAGTTAAACCTAAGTCGAGAAGGCTTCGACAAGATGGTGGCCGTGTGGAGCGATATGCTACCGAAGACACACATTATGCCGAAGAACTTGTATGAGTCAGAGAAGCTCCTTCTTGCACTTAAGATGCCATATGACAAGATACATGTGTGTCCGAAGGGGTGCGTCCTATTTAGGAAAGAACACACGGATGCAAAGTACTGCCCGAAGTGTAAATCCTCTAGGTACGTGGAGGTAGACTTAGGCGATGGCTAGAAGAGGCAGCTTAAGATCCCCATGAGAGTCCTGCGACACCTTCTGTTCCTGCCGAGGCTCCAACGGCTATTCATGACCGAGGAATCCGTGAAACAGATGACATGGCACAAAAACGGCACACGATACAATTCTGAGAAGATGGTACATCCATCCGATGCTGATGCATGGAAGTACTTCAATTCACGGCATCCTCTCAAAGCAGAGGAGGCTCATAATGTACGTGTCGCGCTGGCAACAGATGGGTTCAATCCATATGGCATGATGGCTGCACCATACACATGTTGGCCTGTGTTCGTCATCCCCCTGAATCTCCCCTCGGCGTCTCCTTTCAACGACATACCGTGTTCATGTCGTTGATAATCCCTGGACACCCGGGGAGTAATATGGGTGTCTTCATGGAGCCTGTGATAGATGAGTTGATCGATGCTTGGGTCAAAGGGGTGTGGACATACGACCGAGCTACGAAGACTAGCTTCAAAATGCACGTCTGGTACCACTACTCTCTGCACGACTTCCTGGCGTATGAGTTAATGTGCGCCTGGTGTGTTCAGGGGAAGTTCCCATGCCCAATATGCAAGGAAGCTGTGAGGTTCATATGGTTGAAGAAGGGTGGCAAGTATTCGTCGTTCGACAAACATCGTTAATTCCTCCCTCTTGACCATCCATTCAGAGAAGACGTCAAGAGCTTTACGAAAGGTGTCAAAGCGATGGACCCTAGATCGCACTTGAGGACTGGGGCGGAGGTTCGTGCTCAGATAGATGCTCTCATGCCCAACGAAGATGGTGGTTTCGTGGGATATGGTGAGCAACATATGTGGACTCATAAGTCTGGCTTGACGAGGCTCCCCTATTTCGATGACCTCCTACTACCCCATAACATTGATGTCATGCACACTGAAAAGAATATCGCCGAGGCATTTTGGGCAACGCTTATGGACACTGACAAGTCTAAGGACAACCCTAAGGCTAG